AAGGCTGCTGACCAGATAGGGCATTGACGGACTGCATGCGTGTTTATCTGTGTACATGTATGTCTGTGTGTGCACGTACATGCTGTGTATGTATATGTTGTGTTTGTGTGTGCATGTACATGTCCGGAAACACCCCTTGACAGAGGCACTCCAGCCTTTGGGTTATCCGTTATTATCAATAAATAAACAAGAGAGCTTGGAAGCTCAGGGCCCTACGCTATGCTTTTTTGCCTTGAGACAAAAAAAGCATAGGGATGTTATAAATTCTTATAAATTTCTACTTTTTGTTTTAGACATATTAAACCTGGGATTCGAACCCGCACTATCGCCCTGCATGCATCCCCCGATACACTTCGCATACATACTAATTCTTCCAAGTTGCTTCACGTTATGATCTTGTATTTGAAAGCCCTATTTGAATATATTGTGGCCAGCCATCTTTGATTGTACGGTACGGTACGGGACAGGTACGGTCGAGGGTAATACGACACCATCTACCGCCTTGATGACGGCAAAAAAAGAATAGGGATGTTATACATTTTCAATTCTCCTATTTTTACAGGCATAACCTGGGATTCGAACCCGCACTATCGCCCTACATGCATTCCCCATACACTTCGCATTCATTCTCATTCTTCCAAGTTGCTTCACGCTATGATCTTGCGTTTGAAAGCCCTATTTGAATAGTGCGGCCAGCTGTATGTGGCCAACTAGTTAACTGTGTTTGATGGTACGGTACGGGACAGATACGGGATAGCGCCAGGTGTGACACAAACACACAAACACCAAATTAAAGCTGTGTGGACCCTGGCTAGCGCCAGACGTTACTGAAGTAACGTCTTCTGCATAGCTACGGGAATACATGTTGTGTATGTGCTTTTTTCACATACAGCTGGCCAGCGGAGCAGTTTGGAGTGATCATCGATGCGATTGTCGATGTCCTGCATCAAGTACACCGCTGTGATGAGGACGGTGTTGTAACAGAGTAAGGAAATCTTCCATTCTCACACACTCTGCACCTTCGTCCATGTATGTACCAATCAGATCTTGTTCTTACTACAGTAGAACTGACAGAGATGGATTGTCTACATGTACGTCATGACATACCAAAATAGAAGTTCTGTCGAGTCCCAGCAGAACACGGCCAAACTGCACAATAGCAGCCAGGCTTGACGCCTATGAGTATTGTGGCGATATTTCAAACCTGTGCTTGTCTTACCGTGTCAAATTCTATTGAATTCCTGGCCCTGGCGTGAGTGCCCTTGGCAGCCAAAGTTTGGGGTGCGCCATTCTTGCTCGCCATGCCAACCCCATCCTTGTGAAACCACGTGGATCTGAAATCAATTTGAAGTGAATTGTTGGATTGGATCTGTTTGATCGAATTGATCGGCTTGGTGGGATCCGGATTCAGGTACCACAATCGAATGCAGCCTAAATTAAGGAGGTCTTCGAGAATTATTATTGTGAGATACAATAAGGTAATAAGGGTATTGTGGCAGAAAACCACTGATTGGTGTAAAGAGGTTAGGAGGGGTCTGAAGTAGGCATAGAAACGTATTTTAAAAACAGGGTCGGTGGAAATAAGTACCAAGATAATTAAATCATAAAAAGAAAAGAGGACCAAGGAGCTATACGTTACGCTAGAATGTCCACTAACACCACTGCAGTTACTTTACAATCAGCTCATGCAATAACATTGCACGACAACTTGTAGCTCATTGGTCCTCTTTTCTCTTCTAATATGAATTGATCCTTGGCTCTCCACCCGAGTAAAATGAAATCAGGAAGTGATAAGGCCTCAATGATGGAATATCTTTGTTTGCTGTCCTGTTGTGATTTTCTGTGTGTGTGCAGCAAACTTGTCTATTCAGCCGAGCTATGCGAGATAGAGTCTGATGATGACGATACGGAAGAGGACAAACGAATTCGGAGAGTAAGTGAAGGTTTAGTTGGACCCACACCTGTGACGACTTGCCGTGTGCATAGTTTCTTAGTCGCACGGCGCTGTGCCATTTCCCACGCAACTGCATGGTTTGTGTTAGATCTGTCAACGCATCCACACGGAACTATGTACGCGAGCGCGCGTGTGTGTATGTGTGCGTGTGTGTGTGTGTATGTGTGCGTGTGCGTGCGTGTGTGTGTGTGTGTGTGTGTGTGTGTGCGTGTGTGTGTGTGTCTTCTTGCTGGTAACGACTGCGTATTACATCTCTGCTCCCGTATCTGCCATTGCTGTTGTGCTCGCTGTGTAGTTGCGCCTATGCGATCCCGTGCATACCCAGTCACTGCGGGATTGCACTCGCCAACATCTGCAGCAGATCCAGCACACACAGGGTGCACAGATTACTGAGCAACTGATGATCTCACTAGATGTAGATGTTGGCCAACAGCTCAAAGCTTTTCTAGAGGCTTGAACGGAGGAGACTTGATTGCCTCAACACTGAACACTCTCTTTCTCATCTCACCTATGAAGGTAGTGGTGGCTGTGGGAGGGGAGCATTGCGCATCTCCTATTGGGTTGCGATGGCTTTCTGCTGTTACTGCACAAAGTATTAATCTGTACATAGGCACTATCACCAGCACCATCAGCAGCAGCAGAAGCAAGTGCAGTAGCAGCTCATGTTGTAAATAGTCTTGTGTACATACATGTACATTTAGTACAATGTGCATGCATGTTGTACAGATGCCTTTCTCTGAACTGTCTATATTTAGACCTCTCTGCCTTTCTGTCTCTCTGCTTCTCTTCTCTGTCGCTGTCCCTCTCCTCAGAGATCTGTCCGTCTGTCTCATACAACGGTAGATAGCCAAACGCCTCTTGCCTGTCTGTCTGTCTGTCTGTATGCATGTCTCTCTCACTCTTTTCGTTAAAAAGAGTAGTTTACGTCTGTCTCACGCAACAGTAGATAGCCGAACCAGTTCGTTTCTCTGTCTGTCTATCTGTCTGTCTGTCTGTTTGCCTCTTCCCCTCTCTTTTTGTGATAAGAGTATTTTTATGGTCTTGATACCTTCACATACTTTGTTTTTATCTCGTTGAGGCATGTCAGCATGTTTCAATTGCTTTGTTTACATTTTAAAAGGATGTGATGTGCATTCTGCTGTGAGTACTGTGCAGTGGCCAAGTGACAAATTCAGCTTCTGACTTGCTCAAGTTTGAGGAATGATACCCTTCTTTTCCAGTGGACTTTGACTGGGTACATGTATGTGCATGTCGCGGTGTGCCGAACGAACGATTGCTTGGACTCTGCTGCCGGCACTTCTGGACCCATCCTGGAAGACCATCTTCCGTATAGTTTGGTAGGTGATTAGGTGAATGGCTGAAAGTAAGGTGCTTAGCTGTACTAGAAGAGTTTAGCTGCAAAAACGTTACAAATGCCAAATTTGAGGAATTGAGATATTGAGCTCCGTGCACAGGTAGTCCAAAGGTCAAGGGAACATTCGGGTAAAATTCACTTTCAAAATTTGGCACACTCCTAGGGTGTCATCGATTGGCGAATCTGGATCGAGTGCGAGCAGGCGGTGTAGTCCGAGCAACACTGGCCCAATCGAACAAAACAAGGGTGTGGTACGCAAAATGTACGCATATCGTACACATATTCTGTGAAAGCTGTAAAAAAAAACGCCAAGGTCCATTTCCACTCCAGCCACTCCCAGTGTGGGGGCCGGTGCGGTCGGATTCCACTCCAAGTTCACCTACTCCGGATTCGGCCGGATTCAGCCAATCGATCACGCTCACTCGGAGCGCACTTGCTCGGGATTCGCCCAATCGATCATGCCCCTACTTGCATGAAAGAAATACTTGTACGGGTGTACGTACATGTTGTACACGTGTACTTGACATCTCTCGACCCGGGTTTGAGTACACTTTGACTTACATGTCTGCATATGTGCAGGCTACATTCCAGAAGAGCCAGTCATGTAGCTGCTGCTGCTGCTGGTGGTACTGCGCAAATCAAGTTAACACAAGTCTGAAGTTCAACTCAACCTAATTTCACACAATTTTCAGTACAGTAATAGGAACGAATTTGGGTGTAGGAGAGACTAACTGGGTATTTGTTGATGTTCATAAACATGTTCTATTACCTATACTATACAGGCGCGTGCTCGGCGATGGGCACGGGGGGCACGTGCACCCCCCACAAAATTTTCAATCTGGGTAATTGCAATTGTAATGTATGCAAATATGCTCTAAAATTCAAGAAAGGTTGCAAACAAATTGCAGAAAATTGCCGGGGGGGCTCCCGTGCACCCCCCTAGTTGGGGGGGGGGGGGGCCGAGCACGCCCCTGCTATAGCGGGATGGGTGATAACATGTACAACAAATAGCCGCGGGGGTAGAAAGATAGATTTTCTGAGCATAACTATACTGGCCAAAGGAGGATTTGCAATAACAGAGGTAGATAGGTAACCGAGGTAGGGCTGTCAGTGAAATGAACTGCAGAATATCCACGCGCTTGACATTAGGCTGAACGTGTGTGGCATGAAAATAATTTGTTTGCATCCAATAAGATTAACAACATTATAGGGCTAGTGTAAACGTAAATGAATCTGCATAGCATACATATAGCATACATATAGCGTGTTTGTTTGCGCTGCTTTCAAATTGAAGAAAATGGGAATGAGTATAAAGCGACATGGGCAACAACAAACAGAACAGGTTTTCCTGAACAACAAGCATAACAGGTTTTCCTAAAAGCCCACACCGTTATCACTGTAAGTGGAGTGCTAATCTGTTACACACCCATTGCATGGGATAACAATGTCAGGACGTACACGCCACTACACTGTAGCAGTCTCTTGACATAGGATTATCACTGCATACTTCCTGAGGGTGCTCACTTCTTTGAAAACGGCGACCTGAGATACGCCCGGGCTGGTGTCTTGATGCCCATCTGCTCAATCTCGTAGTTACGGTTCGCCAGGACAGCGTTGGTCAGCTTCTCTTCCGCTGGTTTATCGATGTAGGCGAACGCAAGCCATTGTCGACTTGCTTGTGCTACACCGGCCCGGCGTACATAGCTGACAACGGTGCCATTGCACCAGACTGCCTCATTGCCATGTAGCGGCTCTTCACTGCACAGTGTCAGGAGTACACCACACGCAACCATGCACACACCACACACACACACACGCACACGCAACCATGCACACCACACACACACAGAAGGTTGACAGAATACACCATTTGAAGTTACCTTTACCCTTCCATGTACTTGTAACCTTCTAAGATTTGATCAGACTGCTCTCTGCTCTCTGGTGATTTGACAAGAACTATGTACATGGAAATATGGCTTTGGCATTGCACAGCATCAGCTAGAGACAGGCGTTTATAGCACACCGCAGAGTGCTGTATTTGTACCTGATTATTTCTCTCTCTCTCTCTCTCTCTCTCTCACACACACACACACACACACACACACACACACACACACACACACACACACACACACACACACACATGCGCACACACACACACACACACACACACACACACACACACACACACACACACACACACGCACACACACACACACACACACACACAAACGCAGTACACTATACCTGCTATCCATGACGAGGCAGATACGCTGGCGAGTGTGTCCGCTGGCCCTCTGCTGCTCCACGGCATCCTTTCCCAGATAGTCCTTGCTGCGCGAGCACACAAAGCCCAGACCGGCCTCGACTGGCGTATCCGTTGTTCTCAGATCACTGTGCCAGTGGTGATAGCCCTGCTCTGCACTCAACAGGTCAATAGCACGGTAACCAGCGTTGCAAACACCATACTCCCTCCCCGCTGACATCATCTGCCGATACACGGCCAGGAGGGACTCGCTGGGAACATGCAGCTCGTAGCCGTACTCGCCGACGAACGACATGCGCATTGCCCAGACTTGCTCACCGCCACCGTTCAGCGTCATGGCAAAGTGCCGTCCGTACGCTGTGGTGTCGGCTGTGCTGAGGTCTGTGTCAGTGCACTGCTGCAGTACCTTTCGACTGCAATGGCACATACAATCAACACGTGGACGCACGTATGTACACACACAAACACGCACGCATGATCACCCACATCATCACAGTGCATAATCAATTAATTATACAAGCAGCACGCATGTAGCTCCCGTGCGGATAGAGTTGTTTGCTACACAATATCTGCTTTTGACTAGGGAGGTTCTGCTCTACGTTATGGGAACGCGACGCAAAGAATCACGCGAAGTCTCTTCGCGTTCCCGTAACGTAAAGAAATCCTGTTCTGCTCTACGTTCACGTAGAGAAGTGACGTGGAATGTGTACTGGGAATTTCCCCTTCCATATTTGGCAGTTTTCTGCCTGCACTCGAATGATACCCAGCAGATCCGTACGCATTTTCTTTGTGTGTGCCACAACGTAGAGAACCTCATCTACGCGTAGAAATCTGGACCCAATAACACATGAAGCTGTAGACTCTAACCCAGACACCTGCTCTCTACGTGATTTCTCTACGTTTCACGTATAGCAGAACCTTCCTACTAACGGTTGACACAGACGTGCACACATGTGCATGACTGTATGAAACAGACACGCACACACACACACACACACACACACACACACACACACACACGCACGCACGCACACACATACCATTGGACCATTGGACGCCCATCGCCGGAGGCGATGATAGCGATGCTACGGCAGAAGCCATAGCAGCTTGTGCTGGGATTGCACCATTCAACAGCTTGCAAGGCTGAAGAATTGACCACCACTATTCAGCCTGGTCTACTCCACACAGCTATGAAGTGGCACACACACACACACACACACACACACACACACACACACACACATACACGTACACACATAATGCATACCTCACAGGACCTTGCAGACTGAGCAGGCCGAGTTTGTCACTGACATCAACCAGCTGTGCATCAAACTGCTTCTCACGCAGTACACGCAGCACATGCTGCTGAACATAAGTAGCAACAGCACCACCACATGCAACGTAGAATGTCTCACTACCATCACTGCCACCACTACCAGCACCAAGGATAGGCAGTACGGATGGGGGAACACTGGCCACAGTGAGGTCGGACTCTGTACCACCGTCCTTGTTCAGCATGCATGTATACACAAGACGATCTACAACAGCAGCAGCAGCAGCAGCGCCACAGAAAAGAAACAAATACACAGCCAAAAAGGTCAGTCTGAGTGACTCTCGTGTAAGCGGGACATTTTTCCGACCTTCCATTCATTTCCCCAGCAACAGGCACGCCACTGCTACGGGATTATCTCACTATTATTGGCAATGGTTATCTCTACTTGCTTTGTTCACTGCTTACCTTTCGCCCCAATGTCATTAGTGAATAACCAGTCAGCTGCTTTCCTGGCATCTCGTCCGCGCAAGAGAAACTTTCCAAAGTAGGACATATTGAAGAGAGCACCGTCTTCACGGCATGCCTTGCACTCTGACATAATCTATGGCGGCCAACAACAACAACAACAACAACATTAAATAATTCAAAATTCAAACCAACAGCAACAGCAACAACACCAACAACAACAACAACAGCAACACTTTAACAGCGATAACGACGACGGTGATGACGATAACGTTACCTCAATGCATGTATGTATCTCCATACGAACTTATGCTGCATGACGGATAATGCGTCTAAGGTATACCATGTGGTTACTCCAGCTCAGCCAGCCCTTACCGTTTCAAAGCAGTCTGGATAGCTGAACTTGTAGTCTTGTTGCACAGCTTGCTTGTAGGTGTAGTCGGTGTGCTTCTCATTACCATACTCACCGTAGTAGTCGTATGGTAGAACCTGCAAACACAGCACATGACAACATAGAGTGGAAAGACAAAAGTGGAAATGTACATGAACTTACTTGGACCTATCCAGACATCGTAAGAATAACAATGACACCCTGCACGATCGAGTGCACGTACAACAGCCCTGCTCCAGTTTTAAAGTCCACTTCTGTCCATTGAGTTCTCCCATGCTTTGAAACACTGCAGGCTGGGTTACTGGTTGTTAGCTGCTGCCAGTGTTTCTGGAGGTATTTTTTGAGACCTGAGCAATTGTGATTGCCGTCACCGCGGAAGCAACTAGCGCACTCTCACAATATACATGTAACTGCAATCAAGAACGAACTTCCTTGCTATGGTGTGGTGTTGTGAATGTGGGCCACGAGCGTAGTATGGAGAGGTGGACGGTTCAGTTTAACTGCAATCAGTACACAGATAAATTACACATTCTATGAAACAAGGCAACACTGCACTGAACCGTAACACTAACCTCAGCCAGCTTTTCAGAGTCTTGCATGAACCAGCCGGGTCTCTCCCAGCCATGCCGCTCCTGATACACACAGCCGGCTTTCATCAATTCCTGCAGTTACGCACGTGCACGTGTACACACAGACACATGTATGGACGGAGAGTCAGAGAACCAGTAAAAGTGGTAATACATACATGCACTGCACAAGGTATTCATATTATTACGTCTCCGCACGTTGCAGCACAATGGGACATGTGTGCCTCTACAAGTACCTCATGCAGTGGGTCCTTGCGCAGGTTTCTCCCAGCCATTGGTTCATCATGAGGAAAGACAATACTGTAGTTCTTGGCGTACGACTCATGGCTGCGCTGGCGACACCACTGCACGTTATCCGTGTAGGACGTACCAAACCGCCTGGGAATGATTCAGCAGAGAACACAAATGCATAGGAATATAGTGGAACATTCGTACAGTTCTACGTACACACACACACACACACACACACACACACACACACACACACACACACACACACACACACACACACACTGTATCACCTCGTGAGGATCACAGAACAACTGTGTAGTAATGTACGTGGTTGAGTTTAGGAAACAATTTCTTTAAAAAAAATAGTCTCACAGATTCCATGTACTGGGGTGGGTGGCTTGGTCTTGTAGAGTACCTGATATCAAATGCAAACATGTCCAGGCTTGGCTTGCCGTGTACAATCCACTCTGCAATCTGCTGACCACATCCACCACTCAGCATGATACCACTGGAGTTGTAGCCACAGCTCAGGTAGAAGCCACGCACTTCTGGTGATTCACCCATCAACGGCTGGTGATCGGCGGTGAAAGACTCTGCACGGATTACACAACAAAACAGGCAAGCACAGGTGTGAAGACAAGAAGACGGCAACACCTCAGCCAAGTTTGTGTGTATACGGCGGGGGTGGGGGCTCACCAGGCCCGCTGACGGTAGATTTCATGCCGACGTTCTCCAAGTGTGGCACACGATGGATGGCTGAGGTCAGATGAGTGGAGAACACATCCCAGTCCAAGTCATACAGCGAGAAATTGAAGTCCCCGGGAAGCTGTGCAAGGAAAGGGCAGAGGCAGGTACATTTGCTTTATAAACACTGGAGACAACCCACACATGTTCGTTGAGCCCAGCAACAGCTATGAGTCGTTTTACTTGCTCACAATGGAGTTGTTTTTTAATGAAGGGTATCTCCCTCTACTGTTACGGCCTCGAATTGCTCACCACTACTACAGTACATACAATGCAAATATAACAAGATTGACCTGACATTGTTGAAGCAGCTTGTGAGCATAATTATAGCCAAATGGCATACTCCAGCTCATAAGAGAATACAGTACTGACTGTACAATGTGACTGAACCACACCGGTATGTAAGGGTAAGAAGGTTGTGATGGGAAGTGACTCCATCCTATATACTATGCAATATTCTTGTGAGAAATGGCGGTAAAAATACACCTGACAACATGGCGCTAAATACTTGTCTGCCCACACAAGGCTTCTTGCCACAATTTTTTTAATGTATCTTTTCGAGAGTGTTGTATGGGCAGGCGTGTATTTACCACCATGGTGCCAGAGGTGTGTAGTTTACCACCATGGTGCCGGGTGTGTGTAGTTTACCACCATTTCCCTACTACGGTAAGCTGCCGAACGTTGGCGACATATCAATGTTTGCGATTTTTGCGAGAAGAGCGTAACGTAAATTTTAACCAGCGTGAAATCAAACTTCAACAGTGCCTGTATATTATAATTATATAAGTTTCCGTGCATGGCACGGTAAGTGGAGTTAGCAACGCACCAACATACTTGCCATAACGCAACACTTGTACATGCAGAGCATGCATGCACTCCGAATGGGGTTTCTGCATAAAACATGGCCGCCACCTTCCTGAGGGGCAACTTGTCCCACATTTGGCAGGTACAGCCAGTTGTAGTACATTTGTGGGTGTGATCATACACAGTCTACAGGGGCAGATCCAGGAGGGGTTCCAAGGGTTCCCTGGAACCCCCTAAATTTCGTACAGTAAAACCTGGTGTAAGCCTGCAGTTGGATCCCGGGACGGATACCCTGATGCCGTCAATCCTTTTTCTGCACCTTGTCCTCACCCACTTACTGAGGTGTGGTGAGCCCATAAGTGGGATCATTTCAAGTCCACCCTAGTTTGGGGATTTCAGGGGTGTCGGCCGTTGGGTGGTTCAATGGCCAATTGAGTCATCTTTCCAAGATTCCTTTTGAGTCTCTCTCCCCTCTCCCGGGGAGACCCACGTGACCAGTTTTGGCAGTGAGCAAGTACAAGTACAAGCGACCTCTGGTTTTAGCGACCACCTGCTTTTAAAACGACCCTTTTTCCATGCACGGCCAGTTCTACACAGAAACTGCACCGGACACAGCGACCACCTGCCTTGCGCGCCCAGCGACTGACTTTAAGTGTACCATGTGCCATAGTGGACCTGCACACAGCGACCAAAACTAACCAAAAGTGCCATCTTGGCTGGCAGGTTTGACTGCAACAGGGTTGAAGTGCGCTCTGAAGCAAGGCATGCAGTCAACAGAAGTGACAAGTGACAGTGCGGGATGTGCTGCATGCACTCCAGTGAGGTGTTCTTTGCCTGCATGAAAGTATTCTATGCTCCACACCTGTCAATATGAGTACATGGAAGTAGAATCATGCATAATGTATGTGCACAATCCCATATGCCACAAATGTTAATAAACCAGGTTTTACTGTAAATATACTACTGGCAACCATGTGCATGTCCATGTACTTCGAAGTACATGTATCAGCTACAGCTTCAGTGCTTGTCACTTGAACTTGAAGTGATACCTATCACCACTGCTGTCACTCGCCTTTTCGAATATTGATACTATGTACCATTTGTATGTGTTCGTTTCTCAGGGAGGGGGAGGGGGGGGGGTTGAAGAGAAACGACTAGTTTTTTGTTTCTAAATAAATATCGGTATTTACGGAAGGCCCCTTACCTCATCAACGAATATCGGGTTGTTCTCATAGCCTCCCAAGCTGAGTCCATCGCCCTGCAGTTTGAGGTACAGTGACAGGTCATGATCCCGGACATTGGGGCAGTTGCGAATGCCTTCAATAGCCTCGGTGACCACGTAGGCATGTTTCATTGCAACCAGGGGCACCGTCACACCAGCCATGGCGCCAACGCTGGGTGCCCAGCCACCCGCGCAGTTCACCACACAGCTTGTGTTGATCGTGCCCTGGTCCGTGTGCACGGCAGACACTTGACGCGATGACAGTGCACTCTCCTTCGTCTCGATGCCAGTGACAGCGCAGTTCTCCACAATCTGCGGTGAGGAAGCCATGCACAATATAATGTTCAGCAATACACAATAATGCAGAGATCGTTTTTTACAGGGGCTACGATGATTGTTTTTAAAAAGCTACAGCAGGGGCTAAAGAAATCCTACCGTCCCTGCACAGCAAATCACACTGTCACCAGGATCACACTGTCACCAGGATCCCACTGTCACCAGGATCACACTGGCACCAGGATCACGTGCAGAATCTGCCTGCATGTATATCCACATGCTGACTAGCCCATTTACCCATGCAGACAAATGGCGCAGGGTGTCAGATGTCTTTTTTCGGCCCCAATCAGCTGGTACATGTAGCCACCATCATCACTCAAGTCCGAGGCTGTATGTTGTCACACTGTGAAACAGTAATACAAATTTATCAGTGGCATCATCCATAGGAATAGTTAGTAATTTATCAGTGGCACCATCCATAGGAATAGTTAGTAATTTATCAGTGGCACCATCCATAGGAATAGTTAGTAATTTATCAGTGGCACCATCCATAGGAATAGTTAGCAATTTATCAGTGGCACCATCCATAGGAATAGTTAGTAATTTATCAGTGGCACCATCCATAGGAATAGTTAGTGCCCCGAGGCATGGGGCTCACATTGCAAGGCGTATTGCACATGGGCACAGTACATGTACTTGCTGCACACTACTCGTAGGTAACCATGGTAACTCAGGGTGACCACAAGTACCCCATACACCGTACATGCGTACACGTGAAGCCTTGTACAGAGCACCGTGATTACCTTGGCTCCATGCTACACCGTACATGCGTACACGTGAAGCCTTGTACAGAGCACCGTGATTACCTTGGCTCCATGCTACACCGTACATGCGTACACACAAGCCTTGTACAGAGCACCGTGATTACCTTGGCTCCATGCTACACCGTACATGCGCACACACAAGCCTTGTACAGAGCACCGTGATTACCTTGGCTCCATGCTACACCGTACATGCGTACACACAAGCCTTGTACAGAGCACCGTGATTACCTTGGCTCCATGCTACACCGTACATGCATACACACAAGCCTTGTACAGAGCACCGTGATTACCTTGGCTCCGTGATGGATAGCAGCACGGCCATACGCTGCCGTGATACCGGACGGTTCAACGATACCGTCGCCGGGACTGTAGAGTGTGCCATACACATCACTGACGTTCATCAGTGGATACAGGTCTTTAGTCTCCGCCGGTGATAGCACGGAGGATTCAATGCCAAAGCATTTACCAAGCTACAGGGAGAGTAACACATGCACAAGATACGCCATCAGAACAGAATGCGTATGCAAGCCGATATCAATCGTCTGTCTGAAGTCAGATGGTCGGCTTAGCATGCATCAAGTTATGTGTGATGTCTAAAGTTTGTACAGGGGTACTAAGCGTCGGCGTAACACACATGTCTGCTCGTACACATTCGCACACCCGGTTGGGTATTCAACTGTTCATTGTGTGCTATACAGTCAACTTTGCGAATAACGACACTCGGCGGGGCATCATAAAAGTGTCCTTATTTGCGAAGTGACGCGAAGTGCCATTTGAATGTATGTGAACCTATATTTTGTATAGTATGACATACATATCAAAATGAAGCTCTTTTCTTGCTCTATGTCAATGTGTACTTTATTTTCATATTGCAATTGAAAGGGTCTATAAAAAGTCAATATGCGGCAAGGGAAATAAATCGAAAAATAAGCCTTCTGGAGCCATCTACAGGGACATGTATGATGATTACTGTACAATCATGTACAACTACATACATGTATACGGTAGTTGTGCTGGTACTGTAACTCCTACTATTTTGAAGCAAAATAAAAAAGAAAGAATAGAATATGCACCCCCACCCCCACCCCCTGCATCTTCTAATTGCATGTGTGCCTTTTAAAAAGCTTTTTTTTTAAATATAAAAAAAATATAAATTTTTTATCCATCGCCGTGGGTTCTGGTACTTGTGCATGACAGGTACATGTACAATGTCATGTACATGACTGACAGGTACATGTACTTGAAATACAATGTAGCTGTCAAAAGCCTCCCCAGAAAGTGTTATTGAAGCAGTGAATTTTACCTTGGGGGGGGGGGGGCACTAAAATCATGTCGCTACTTAGATAGTCGTTATTTGCGAATTGTCGTTGTATCCGCAGTCGTTATTAGCGAAGTTGACTGTACCTACATGTGCATTTGACCAGTTTAGCCCAATAATCAATGGCAGACAATCGCCCTTCCAGCTTCATTCGGACTAGAGCCAGTAGAGGTAACGACTAGCTAGATATTGTTTCTTCAGAATTCTCAAACTCCATTGCAGCGTATTTCTTGCACTTGAAAACACCGCCATTCCGGCAACAGGCTCTCAGCTGCACCAAATGAATAACTTTGCCGATATTTCGCCCATTGGGCGAAATATTGGCAAAGTTATTCATTTGGTGCAGCTGAGAGCCTGTTGACGGAATGGCAGTGTTTTCTAGCTAGATATTCTTCAAAAAAAGTTTTTCGTGTGAAGTGCATTTGTTTCGTAGTGGGAATAGCAGCAGTACAATTATGGTCCTGCAGATTCAACACCCAACCAGATCTATGGGATTCTACAATATTCTACGGGATGTCGTACATCTGTACAACTTGGATAAGGTCTATTGTCACTGGCCAGTGTCGTGGTGGTCACATGTCTTATTGAATCATGATAGGCGGCCAGTTACCATGGTAACACCATACGTACCGTCATGAGCCGTTTGTACTCATCGAGTCTCTCCTTGGTGTTTGCCACAAACAGCCCGCCATTCTGGATCCAGCCCGCATCCAAACCTTGACTCTCTGCTTGTAGGCCGGTCGCACTGGTGTCGACGAGTAAGTCACGCGTCCTGGCTAGCAGCTCGATGGTAATATCAGACGGCCGTAGTCGCCATACCAGTCCAGCACTGTGCCATGTCGTACCCGCTGTCAGCTTGGAGCGTTCCAAGAGAACAACATTTTTCATTCCCAGCTTGGTCAGGTGGTAGAGAGCAGAGCATCCTGCAGCACCTCCGCCAATAATCACAGCGTCCGCACTGCTGGGCAGTTGATGGCTGCTGGTCGCTGCGTCGATCTTACTGCTCGTATCATAAGGTACTCCGGAGTCCACTGAACGACAGCTGCTAGTGCAGAGTGTACGATAGGAATTATTCCAATGACCATGTGACTGCATGGACGCGTGCACGTGGCTTCTCAAATAATTTGAAGCTATTCGAATTGATGACATGAAGAAAGCCATTGCTAATAATCATCGGCAGTCAACGCCAAGAACTAAAATGCCCGATCACGCTTCGCAAAAAGGTTGAGTCCAGAATCCAGATACTCTACGATCACTGAGGGCTGCATGCAGTACCAATCAGCACACACTCCAGTATCTACTCAGACCACAGCACGCCACGGAGGCGATCAGCTACTTCACGATAGCCAGGCGTCTTGACAACTTTCCCGGTAGTTCTTCAGTGCCCCACGGCCACGTCCACATCACGTTTACTGAGATCTGTTGTTGAATTACTTTTATTTTTTTAAAGTCGCAACACAAACAGGCGAATCTGATCTGCCCAGCACTGCAGCCAGCAGTGGCCAGCTATCATCTGAGTATTCATCATGGTATTACTACTAGTATTAGTAGCTCACCAATTTTCGCTTGTTGACCGTGAATGATTGTTTCTTTGTTACAATGTAACATGTCATGTGTGTCAGACAGTGACAATCAATGACTATGTTATGATGAAGTCTACAAGACAGTACCCGGTAGCTGTAGTGACATGACACTGACCGCTGTACAAAAACTTGAAAAAGCACTGATGTGTTCTCAAACTCTCGCGCACCTCTCATCTCAGGCTCTCACACACCTCTCACACGCCTCCGTATCGCGTACCGAACCTCCATAAAAAATGGTCCTACTTAAGTACTTAGTTACCGTACTGGCAATATATGTTGCCGCGTAACGCGTAACGCAGGGGGGTGCGGCGTAACGCGCGACCAGGCTAGTGCGACAAATTTTCGTTGAGTTCGTAACGCACGTCCGGCGGGGTGCGGCGATCTTTTCATTGCAGTTTGCAAAAAATGATGCGGCAATAGCAAAAAAATGATGGGGCAATAGCAAAAAAATGATGCGGCAATAGCAAAAAAGTGATGCGGCAATAGCAAAAAAAGGACTGCGGCAATATAGAAACCTGTGTACGGCTCCTGTGCGACTTTGCATGTAACGCTCTGCGTGCGGCAAACATGTGCCAATGTAACGCTTCATGGCCTCACTGCGGCAACATATATTGCCAGTACGGTATAAAACAAAAAGAAAAAGTCTTGGCTGAACGCGAAGCACTGAACTGATAGTCTCCATGAAGACTGTTCCCATGACTCGATCGACTGTCACCTGGTCACTCCTGTCATTTGTCAAGTGTCACTGTCAGCTACAACTACTTACTTACAACAATACAAGTACAACGCGAACCAGGCAGTAACAACGGCAAGACTGCCAAGACTCTTGGCAGTCTTGCTGTTGTTACCATGGTTACTGCCTGGTTCGCGTTGTACTTGTAGTTGTAAGTAAGCAAGAGCCAAGACTGGCAAGAGTACATCACCCCCGGGTGATGTACATGTACTCTTGCCTTGGTAGCAGTGCAACAATGTTGTCATGGTATTGGTAGACAGTCATCTACTCAGCGATCTACTCATCACCAGAGTGACAGAGACCAGGAGACAGGCATGGCAACATGTATGCTACACGTACAACTACAACTACAACTTACAAGACTTCTTTTTTTTTTATTAGTACAAGCCTGGCATCATTTTGAAAACTCTACGCAGGCCAGCTCAGGACTACAGTACAGCCTGGATGGAGTGAACCAGCTAGCTGAAACTCTGTTGACAGGACTTTTTCTTGTGAGCTCTTTGGTTGGGCATGGGGCCAACGGCAACGGGAGAAAACTACATGATTGTATCTTTTGTCATTGTGGCGTTGGGCAGGAATGTGAAGTTAGGTCATTGAAAGCCACTAATATACCTACTACGACCGGTGACTACCCTGATCTGGACTAAGCTCGAAACAAAATTGGCTCCGCTTCTGTAGTTGTGACGGAGCGCTACGGAGACCAGCTATATACAGAGGGTTTCTGCCTTGGAATTGATCAGCTCAACCAAGAAACTAAAGTTGCAGTGTTTCATCGTGGCATTCAAAGAGACACTACTCGCTAGCGTAACCGTGCTTCACATAGCACTCCTTGGTGCACCATTGGCGTGGTGGAGCCATGGCCGAGCAGCCAGGGTATGGCGAGGGTTATATCAAGCAAATTATCAAGACTGTGCTGACGAATGTGCAGAAGGAGTGCCATGCACGGGGAGAGAGTGTATCCGATACACTGGTGGCTTTCGTCGTAAGTCAGGCATTCTTAGTCTCAGTCCCAGTTTTCGTGCATTTCTTTCTATCTTCCCCTCGGAGGACACAGTACTGTTGAAGCGGTGCTCTTCCTCGAACTGACATGTCACATGACTGTAGGCACAGAAATGACCAATCGCATTGCACCTAGTGATGTAGGCTGATCGAACACGAGTACGAGTGTTTTGATTACATATCTGACCTGCACCCAAGCTTGTAAACTCATACCGAACTAATTACTTATAAAATACTTCGCGAAGGGCTGTGATTGGCTGATGGAACATGAACACGGCTGTTTTGATTGGATTTCTGACATGAACACACACTTCGATCTCCCTGTCACACTTGAAAGCACGACTCGGCCTTCTCGAGTAAAACAAGCGAGCTTTTCGGTAAATCAAAGCCCTCGTGGAGCGGGCTTTGATCGTAAAATCAAAGCCTGCCTGGGCGGGCTTTGATGGGATAATCAAAGCCTGATCAGTAAGTATGAAGTTCTAGCATGCCTTGATCGCCTCATCTAGGCCCTGCTATATGTACAATCGGCCTCTGAAAACCCATGCTTCCTATAGAGGTTACTAGTATACGATTACATCAGCAGTCGAGATGCTTTTGCGAAGTCGCGAACTCACGGCACAGCGCTACACTTGCACTAGCGACTCACGCTGTATACTTAGCGGGAAGTTAGTGCCCATTAGAAAATCCGCTGACTCGCCCCATGAAGTCACTCGCGTAACCTCTATACACACTGGGGGGAGGGGGGGGGGGCGGAGAAACCAAAGACGAGGAAATGCACATTCATGGGGAGTTCACAGAGAGGTGCTATGCTGCTCAATATGTACAGTAGCAAATCCTAAACATGTCTGACCAATTTAAAATCAGGTTTCGAGCCTAGAGTTAGCCAAAAGCAGGCCACATCTCAGCATGGCATCCTTTAGTTTGTTTTGTCCTTGGTTTCGAATGGACAGTATAGTCTCCATGCATTTTGATCGTAGCATAAACTGAACCGAACCATCTTTAGTGAGACACTACAAAGGTCATTCAGTGCTGCGAATCTCAGTGTCAATCTCATGTGTCAGTCGCATGTATTTCAAGTTTTGCACTGTATGTGGTGTAACTGTTTCAGGTCAAGGCTCTACTTTTGAATCCTCAGAACAAGTTTGAAGGTGATGAGCTTGTTTCCGAGCCCTCGTTGAATGCAGTGGTAAAGGTGAGATGTTTGCTGGTTAACTGGACATACATGCATACATGTATACAGTGGGGCGTGCGGTGGTGTATCCAGAATTTGGCTGGGGGGGGGGGGGGGGGTCATGGCCGGGCCCAGACGACATCATGTTACTCTCCAGGCTCTCCCGGGATTACAATTTTGAAAATGAATGATGTCATTCCCGTACGCATGTGATACAGCCACCCCACGGTTACATGCAATCACACCACATGCATTTCTTCCAGCTGGACTTATTGGCAGGCATAGTGCCAGGGATGGTCTAAGACCATGACTGAGCAACAGAGGGAACCAAGTTCAAGTCCTGCTTGGCAACAGAAGGATTTTTCCTGCTGTGACGCACAGTAAATTGGGAACTTGTGGCCTGCCACGGGGGAAGCATGGGTGCAGCGAATTGGATTTTCGATCTTTGACCACTTGGTGGTGGGTCTGATCTGCTCACCTCCCACCGCTTTAGTAGCTGCATCTGCGCCTTGATCCTTGAAGGGTGGTGCTTTCCTGATCCTTGAGAGTAGTGGGCTGAGTCTGACGTGAACTATGAAACTTAAACTTCATCATGGTGACTACAGCAGTAGTCACTATTGTAGTAGTCGGGTTCTTTAGGATACTAGTACTGGACCGGTATTATTTATAGGACAAGGAAGTACAGTGACAAGCAAGGTAAAAGAGAAACATTTGCCGCAAAGGTAACAGCAGACTCCAATCCTTGGGTACTGCACAGGCGTGTATACGTGGCAGTGCACGTAACCTGTGTTAATGCGTAACGCAAGGGTTACACGTGCCCAAGAATAGAACAATGCATACGTCATTGCATGCTGCGACAACTACGGCAGTGAGGTTACTCCGTCTCTAACTCTGCAGGTCTTGCCAGACACGTGTGCGGTCTAACAATGCAATATGTTTTTATGTCTTTAGGGAACAAGTTTTCCAAGAATCAGTGCATTGGGTTTTCCAAGAATCTGTTGCTGGACTGGTTTCCCGACAAAAGAAGCTAAAACTGGCCCCGCTATTGGAATGTGATGCAATATGCCAAGTCTGCTGCTTTTTAGCAGGAAATACCAATTATTTCACCGGCCTGTTTCTTTTCTTCTGTTTGCAGCGTGCCGTGGACTGGATAATGGACAAAGAGGGTGCAGCCATGGACACCATCAAAATGCAGGTCTATTTCGACACAAACTACGTGTCCAGAAGTAAGTGAGCTATTGTCATATATTGCATCACATCATTAGTGTTGCTGGCCCATGCATGACCCTGGACATGGTGCATGGAGAAGATACACCGACTACAGCGAAACCTGTCTAAGGCGACCCCTCAAGGGACTTTACAAATGTGGTCCCGTGTACAGGTGGTCTCCTTATCCCCGGATCATTTGATTGGAAATAAGTTCAAATAACATCCATTGGTCCTGGTTGTAGTGGTCCTCTAGGACAGGTGGTCGCCTTATCAGAGTGGTCGCCTTGACAGGTTTACTGTGTACATGTAAGCATCTCATGTGCAGTGATATTGGCGTTAGCGGCATTATATTTCAAGGATTCTCCAAGTGCAAATGGATGCCTATCAATGGGAGTCTTCTGTCTTCTAGTGTTGGCCAGTGTAATTCCCCTTCATGAACAGAACAGTGCTGTCCAGGGTTGCTGCTGCATGATGATTCGTGACACTAGCAATACGAACACTCGGCTCTGCATCCTGAACAGAGTGGTACAGCTGTACTGCTCTCTTCATTGGAGCAACTATCACCGGCCCACACTGCAGTATTGAGCAGCCAGGCACTCAAGCAAGTATGGCAGCTGATACCATGTGACCATGGCAACCATTTCACACAGATAGATCAATATTATAGAATGGTATTATCATAGAGATTGTTCGGTGACAAACGGGCTACCCAACTGTGTTGGATGGACCAGTTGTCGAGTGGTTGTTCATCCGGGTCACGGAAACAGTTGCATTGCCGGATAGGTGACATGGCAGAGAGCGGGTGAGGGCGAGAGTATGTAGTTAGATTACCAAAGAACACTTTGCCGGTTTATTACAAGTATGGTTAGATCGACAATCATTGGCATGTCTATATGGTGTATGTGTGTGTGTGTGTATGTGTGTTTTAGAGACATTCTTCAAAGAGCATCGTGGTGTTTTGAAGCAGTCTGCGGCTGGCGTTCTTCGTGAAATCCTGGACTCTCGTGCCCGCACGGTAGTGGAAATGGATGGTAAGCCGCATCATGACTATCATGACTATCATGTACCGGCAAACAAGCAAAAAGAGCAAAAAGAGCAAAAAGAGCTGTGCGATTAGAAATGGAGTTAACACCAGCTATTGTATTTAACATCTGTTTGTTATAGCCAAGGCACTCTTCGCATGGCTGGAAGATAACATGCAGGCCCTCAACAAGTGCTACATTGCTGCATGTACTTCGTATCCAATCCAGCAAGGAGGAGCGTGTGTCGTGTCCGGTGCTATTTGTAGACTGAAATTTGTGACAAGACCTCCATGCACGCCTTTAATCCACCTTTGAGAGAGTATGTCAAGGATCCCGCACGATTTCAGAAACTGTTCGCCTTACATCATCAGTTCGCGAGGGTGGTGAATTCACTGCTCTTACTCTAGACCCTCAATTTCATGCATTTCTATTTCTTTCTTTCTTGATACTCTAATTTCAGAAATTTTCGGTGCTCAATATTTTCGGTATGAGGGCAAACGGGCAGGTTAGGTAAACGGAAATTTTAGGTACAGAGAAGCAGTTCCGTATTGGATTGTGTGTGTTAGTGTTTGTTCGGTGTATTGAAATTTTAGGTATGAAACAGACGCACCGAAAGTACTGAAAATAAAAGTACACCGAAAATGTGTGAAATTACAGTATCTCCGTCTGCTTTCACAATCCTCCCCCTCTTACATTGGTGCTCTGGTACTATTGGGCGATCCAACTTAAAACAAGAATATAACAATAGCACTGTATGCATATATTAGAAATGTAATGCGCCGATAAGCAGTTATGATGCAGCTATCAACGGGCACAACCTACATGTACCTTGCAAAACACAGGGATTTACCTTTTGGAGTGCACACACATGACATGTTTGTGTGTGTGTGTGTGTGCGCGTGTGCGTGTGTGCGTGTGTGTGTGTGTGTGTGTTTGTACGTGTGTGTATGCATGCATGTGTACGTGCGTGTGTGTGCATTCGCGTATGTGTACGTGCGTGCTTGTGTGTCTATGCATGCTGTCATATGCAGCTCTGTACAGAAAAGTGCTGACGTACATCCTCCTCAAGTCATCCCTTGGTTCCTCTACTGACATGGTGGTGCTTAGAGAAACCACTGGTAAGGCAGTCACTATGAACTTGCAATTCCATCTAACAGAAAATCAACAACGAGAGAGCTTGGAAGCTCAGGGCCCTACGCTATGCTTTTTTGCCTAGCGAGAGTCAACTTTCTCTTTGCATTCGAGGGTAATACGACACCGTCTACCACCTTGATGATCTAGGCAAAAATAGCATAGGGATGTTATAAATTTTTCATTTCTCCTATTATTTTTAAGACATAACCTGGGATTCGAACCCACACTACCGCCCTGCATGCATTCTCCGATACCGCATACATACTCATTTTTCCAAGTCGCTTCACGTTATGATTTTGCATTTGAAAGCCCTATTTGAATATTGTGACCAGCTGTCTTTGATTATTGTGGCCAGCTGTCTTTGATGGTACGGAACGGGATAGCGCCAGGCATGCCGATGCTGTCCTTGATGGTACGGGATAGCGCCAGGCATGCCAATGACACAAACAAACAAACAAACACGGAATTAAAGTTGTGTGGACCCTGGCTAGCGCCAGACGTTACTGAAGTAACGTCTTTTGCATAGCTACGGGAATAAAACATGGTAGTACGCTGTCGAACGTCAGAATAAAGGCTGTGCAATAAATGTCTGTTTTCTTTTCTTTTTTGACAATGTCAATAATGTCATCATTTGAGGGGTCCAATGATCCAATCCATTCATTGCATGATGTCATGGCCATGCAATCTGTCGTGCGTGCGTGCATGCATGCGTGCGTGTGGGTGTGCGTGCATGTGTGTGTGTGTGTGTGTGTGTGTGTGTGCGTGGGTGTGCATGTGTGTGGGTGTGCATGCGTGTGTGCATGTGTGTGTGTGCGTGTGTAGCTGCTCTTCAGAGCGTTCTGCCGCAATCTGAAGTTGGGACTTTGCTGCCATTGTCTCGAGAGCAGAAGCAGAATCAACTTAACGAGCTTACCCTCGTCGTGACCGGAATCCGACTGTTCAACAAGACTGTTGGCAAAGGGGGAGTTGGTATCGTTGATGGTAAGGAAACCTAACACTATAGAGGTTAGTCATGATTACATCATTCTCTAGTCATGTGACAGCATGGATTCTATTCATTACATCAGCATCATCAGCATAGGATCATGTCATGTGATAGTGTAGAAAGGCTAGTCATTACATCCCCCCCCCCCCCCCCGTCCCGGGTCATGTGATAATATAGAGGCTTTTCATTACAATCATTGCTTACAATCACATCACATCACTCTCTGGTCATGTGCACGGCCCACATGTGGCCTCAGGTCAATGACAGTAAACTGTGACTACACCGGCACTCTTTGAACGATAGGAATAGCTCCGTAAACTTTCTCTCTCACTAACTAACAGTCTGTTCTCCTATTCCTATTTGTCTCTGTAGTGACAGAGGTGCTGGCAGACGGACTACCTGCAGCCACAGACAGAGCAGCAGCTGATGTGGAGGAGATTGAGTATGATTGTTTCAAGATAACCGGTAAGGGCTAGAACAGTCAAAGCCTTCACTGGGATAACTATGCGAATCAAGAGTCATGTTTTCCCGAGAGCTCATATGGGACTTAAGGTGCCACTTAAGGTGCCACACATATTAAAAAATGTAACTCAATATGGAGTTTTGGCGCATATCACTACTCCTTTTGAGGGATAGTTGTAGTATGGTCAGAGTATGGTCAGCTGATCCGGTGAATAGTGGTACACGTACATGTAGCCATTCGTGTTGCTCGTTAAATATTATATTTTGGTTTATGGTGTGGCGGCTTTAGAGTTGGTGGTTTTGCTTAAAACACTATTTCATCCTGTGCCGGTATACCCTAGCAATGCTAGTATATTTCAGCAGTTTTCTACCCGACCTGTCAGAGTGCATTGTGTATCATATTACATGACTGTATAGTCTTTATCCGTTGCTTATGTCTCTATCTCCAGCCTTAGCCGAGCACATTGCCAAACCCAGCAACATCGAAGCGAGACGAGAGGAATACGAGAGGTGCATCGAGGCCATTGCCAACCTTCGGCAGAGGCTGGCATTCGCTCGCTTGATATCGGTAAGCGACATCATCGGAGCATGTCGGAATGGATGAGCAACTATGAGCTGCCGGCACACTGTTGTAGCTCATCATGTGTACGACTGTACGTGGCAAGGCTTTCTTGGGGTTTTGCAACACAGATTGAATGTAGAACTTTGTACTCTTCGCAAAGTTTCACATTTTCTGGATGGTTGTTTCTTGTAAAATCCAGACCATTGTTTTACATGGTTTCCTGTGGTCTTTGTGGACAGTATTCCCAGCCTAATGTGCTATATCGGGTCATCCTGCAATATCCTATTCGACTGTGTGGTTGTGATGAACATGGTGTTCAGCTGACGCCGATCCCAGCTTTCTGCATTACCTCCTTTCACAGGATGCAATTGAAGAGAGCAGCACCCAGGTATACAAGAACCTCGGCCAGTATAGACAGAAACTTCAAGAGATGCAGACAGTCGTCAAATCCAGCAGGAGCGTAGCAACTGCGGAAGTTTATGTAAGCCTCTACATGTGCACATGAAATAATGTGTGCACGACCAGTGTTACAAGTCTGGGGTTGATATAAGGCGAACTATTACCCGGTAAATGTAAGAATTGGACAAACATGTTCTTAGTGTTGGCCAGATAAGGGACTTTTGCCGGATAGTGTTGGGTCTGTTGCCAACGGGCTCGGCTGCTTGAAGGTGTAATGTTGTACCTACCACCTTTGTTGGTTTCAGGGTTAACGTACTTTCTATTAATTTTGAGGTGTCATACCTGTTAACCATGGACTTCTTCTGGCTAGATTAACTCTTGTGTAATCAATGGTGCTAGTGAAGCTGATACTAGATCCATTCTGACTTAGCCACCCGCACTAGTAGCAGCAAGTCACTGATTGCCTTTACTGGGGCGGGGGTAAATGCAGTTGGATCCCGGGACGGATACCCTGACGCCGTCAATCCTTTTTCCGTGCCTTATCCTCACCCACTTACTGTGGTGTGGTGAGCCCATCAGTGGGATCATTTGCAAGTTCACCCAAAGTTTGGGGATTTCAGGGGATGTCGGCCGTTGGGCGGTTCAATAGCCAGTTGAGTCATCTTTCCAAAATTCCTTTTGAGTCTCTCTCCCCTCTCCCGGGGAGACCCACGTGACCAGTTTTGGCAGTGAGCAGTACAAGTACAAGTACCGTGTGACAAGGGAAGGTTTGCTGCTTTTCATTGTCTAGTACTTCAAGTATCAGAGTTGTATGATCAGAGTTGTATGATCAGAGTTGTATGATCAGAGTTGTATGATCAGAGTTGTATGATCAGAGTTGTATGATCAGAGTTGTATGATCAGAGTTGTATGATCAGAGTTGTATGATCAGAGTTGTATGATCAGAGTTGTATGATCAGAGTTGTATGATCAGAGTTGTATGATCAGAGTTGTATGATCAGAGTTGTATGATCAGAGTTGTATGATCAGAGTTGTATGATCTGCAGCTGCAACAGTTGATTGGAACATAATCAGTGATACACGTACATTTTCTAAAGACCTAGTTGGGCGGCTTGTGCCAGAAATCTCCCCGTGTAGAGTCAATTGTACATGTATACACTGAGCTTGAAAATGAACATGTCGGCAAAATCTGCCTCTCCACCGTGGCCTGTACTTCATCAGTCCTGTTGCTGAGCTTTGAGTGACTGGGTTTGTTTTTTGAATTGTCATAACTTGTTGCAATTCATCCCCAATTTAAAACATGTTCTTGCTTCATTGCTGTTCTTCTGTGTGTGTGTGTGTGTGTGTGTGTGTGTGTGTGTGTGTGTGTGTGTGTGTGTGTGTGTGTGTGTGTGTGTGTGTGTGTGTGTGTGTGTGTGTGTGTGTGCGTGTGTGTGTGTGCGTGTGTGTGTGTGTGTGTGTGTGTGTGTGTTTGCACAGCCAAAGTTCCGTGATCTTGCCCTTGCCTGGGGTGGTATGCAAGAGGAGATGGTCTTTCTTGGAGTGTTGGAGGGTATGGCTGCTGGGCTCTCAGAATATTGCAAGGTAAGAACAATAGCTCTGTATTGACTGGTGTGTGTGTGTAAGTATGGGAGGGGGGGGGGGTGAGAAGGAGCATATATTATAGATTTTCTCCTTGCCACCCCCCCCCCCCCCCACACACACACAAACACACATCACACATCACACAATGATATGAAATGTGAAACCAACAGCCTTCCAACTTGCAAGGTTCAAGGTTTCTTAGGAAAGAAAGATGCGAAGAAAAGGCAGGACATCAGTTTGATCTGGGTCAAGAGTAATGCTCCATCAAGGTCACTTAACCAGGGGGGGGGGGGAGGAGGTGGGGCATGGCACAACACTGACAGAGGCTGATAAGATGTGCAGCAACTCGGCGCTTGACGCCACAGCATCTACAAGTCACAGACCAGTAAATTTCCAGCTTGAAAGTCTCACCGAATAGTTATAAGGAACAAGGCCAAAATGGGAAAGTAGGCACAATAGAGACAAGTTGGAGCCAACTTTCATGGCTACAAGAAATGCTACTTATAAAAGTTGCTAGTGTAGATGATGATGAGCCAGCCGTAAGTCCATGCCAAACTAGGGGTTTTACTATTTGAAAGTGCAAAGCAAAAAAACAACCATCAGCAAAGCTGCATGGCCAAGTCCAAGCGTGCTGGCCCCTCAAACCAGGGGTCGATGGATCGAGGAAAAAACCCACCTTGGGAGGCTAAACAATTATTAACCTCTTATTCCGCAGGTTTTCTTGGAGGATTTTGCTGATGATAAACTCGAGGCTGATCTGGACTTGTCTGCGGTGAAGACGGACGCCATGCGAGCGGATGAGGTCAGTACGTGTACAATGCATTTATCAAAACAAGCACCACGGAGTCATTGCAGCTATTTGGCCTTCCCATGCACCGTGTCCAGCAGACTCGGTGCGCGCCTGGGTGGGTTGTCAGTGTACTATCAATGTATTTCCGTGCACGCATGGCACTGCTGCCATGGTCTGACTTCTCTCTTGTCATTCCTGCACTCTATCGCTTTCTTGCAATGCTGCAGAACAGTGCAGACGAGGCGAAGATCAGTGGACCTCTTGGCGAGCAAGTGCGCCTGTTTGAGCCAAAGCAGGTGATCAACTTTTCAGCGATGCAGACAGAATTCAAGGTAACGTTAGGACCCAATTCTAATGAACTGTTGGCAACTTCATGTCTTTCCAATGCAGAACTTGTTCCATGGTTAGGAGAGTGCCTGAGCATGATTGGGTGGCAGACAGGCCATCATGGGAGAGAAGATGCCAGCAATGTGAAGGTCAACACTGGCTGTGGAGCCTGTGTGAGCTACTAAAGACCTCCTGCTGCATTGAGCTTGACATTGTGAGGAGCCACTTCCTAAGAAAGGTTTCAAACGTGTTCATTTCCCGATCATGCAGGGATTCTGTGCCTATTCGCTTGCAGTAGGACAGGGCCTGCTCATCCCGGGAGATCCAAACATTGGAATTCTTTCATTCAACGGACTCTACTACAGCTTTTCGTCCAAAGAAGCTGCAACGGACTTCTCCTACGCACCATACAAGTAAGCTTCCTTTAATTGCATGTATCGTATCCGCTTCTCAGACCAAATATTTGGCCACGACCTTGAAGGTGGCCTGTATAATTATGGTATTTGTGTATATACAGTGTACCCAGGGTCACCTATGTCTGTTGTACGTGCTGTACATGCTGTTGCCTCTTGGTTAGATTCATATCAACAATAACTGAGCTGTGCAGGGAGAGAGCATACCTGATTCCTCTGCTCTCACTGCATTCCAAGTTTTCCGGGATGGCACCTAAACTGGTAAGACGCACAGCTACAGTACAGTACAGTGAATCATCGTGAATGGAGATTTAATTATCTGAATTGTGACATCCACGGGATATATTAGTGTTGGGTGACTAGGCAGTGTCACAACACTCCATTTCTGTTTTCTTCAAGGCATTCAGTATTCTTCAGAATTCCCAAACTCCATTGCAGCGTATTTCTTGCACTTGAAAACACCGCCATTCCGGCAACAGGCTCTCAGCTGCACCAAATAAATAACTTTGCCAATATTTCGCCCATTGGGCATCATCAGGGCATTGAGGAAGGGGAGGCAAAAAAAATACGAAATATAAAGACGAATAATGCAGGCATCTGATGCCCAATGGGCGAAATATTGGCAAAGTTATTTATTTGGTGCAGCTGAGAGCCTGTTGCCGGAATGGCGGTGTTTTCAAGTGCATTCAGTATTGCCCAAGAATGGTTTGAATAAAGCCCAATGGTCAATGACACGTACAGTCCTGGCCAGAGGAATTCAACCTCATGAATAAAATAGGCGCTAGCCGGCCCTAACACCACATGCACACTGCCCTGAAAACTTGAGCACGGCGCTACTTTATGATTCATGGGGTCGAGTTTCTCCGGCCAGAACTGTGCATGCATAGCTGTGTTATCTGCCTTGATCTTCATATGTAATAGAATGTGTGTTTGTCTGTTGTGGCGACAGGGACCATCCTCTGCTACGCTGTCCAAACCAGTGACACGCTGTGACGCGGGCATACAGACCGACGTCCATGCACCAACGATGGGTGGTATCGACAGGTCGTACGAATGGAACGAGTGGATATTGCGATCACAAGCCATCAAGCTGGTGAGAGCCACGTCATATTTTTGTCTTTTTCTGATACCATGGATCCGAGTGTTTCTGGATTGTGATGTAGATGGTATAGTGAGCAATGATAATTATGATATGTGGCTGGTGTTGGTGGACTGTATTTCTTCCCATATTCGGCATGTTGCCATGCTCAAAATCTACACAGCCACGGTCTGGATGAAAATCTATCTTTAGCAATGTCCTTGGTTGTGTGCATTGAATTAGCCAAGAAGCTGACAACTTGGCAGTGTTCTACGTGTAAACTATAAGCGACTATCTGTGTAGACATTGTGCCCGAGAATTTGGTAGCTTTCACATGCATGAAGTGCCCATGATTGTGTACTGAAGTAACATTACAGAAGTTTTTTTTATGGCTGCTGATACTGAAACAGTGGATACCATGAGCATGATTTGTTCGTGAAAGGAAAGGAGGCTTAGTCATAATGAACTGTTGGTAAGGTAATTATTCACACTTGAAAGAAGGAATCAAATTGTTTCTGCTGTAACTCTGAGTTTCACAGTTTTACCGATCGTCAGACAGCAACTTGACTACAATTATTCAAAGATGTCATTGATAGGCTGCAGCAAGCTTGCATCATAGCGCGAGTGAATGATATGGGACAATAGTGGGATGTGCACATGGGTGAGTTGGGTGGGGTGATGTAAACATTGGCACAAACAGAATACACTTTAATAGGCTTAGGATAATTTATAGTAGTTTCTGACCATGGTATGCTCTTGATGCGGGATGCGTTGTGGCTGATAATACTACCACTTCTTACAGGCTAATATCAGGCAGAAGGTCACTCATTCAACACAGACCACGCTATCGTATCACAGACGAGATGCTGATACTCAAGTCTACTTGCCAAAGTGAGTGGGACCTCTAGCCATCACACGGCCAAGCATGGTCCACCAATCTCTGCAGTCCCTGTGGCTATAATGCTATGCAACACACTTTGTTCCACTGCTCTAGAACCGTTGCACATCATGTCATGGTGGTGAACTAGCATATTTGCATACGAGCGTTAAGTGTACAGAGTAAGTCGGCGAACTCGCTTATGGGAGCTAAGTATACAGCGCAAGACGGCAGTAAGTTTAAGTGAGTTGAGACTTCCAAGCCTTTAGGGCACGATGGAGTGTCTTGATGACGCATAAGTCATCCAGAAAATGTCATGCGGTAGATAGATACTCCCTACGAGACAATGACCTTAGCATTGCGCCATATTTACTTCGAGTATGAAGCCAGCAACCCTGCTTTGAATGCAGGATCTCAGGTAGCCAATTGATCACACCTCCAATGTTTTGTTTTGGTTTCGATCACGTGTCCAGGGAGCAAACAACGCAAACACGCCGGCAGAAGAACACGGATGTCCCCAAGCCTGCAGTATACGTTGCTGGACTGCGTGGCTCGGAGCAGAATATGGCCCAGCCAGCCAAGTATGATCTGACGCCGAGTATCCATATTGACAAGATCACTGAGGACTTGGAGCCCAAGTACCTGAATCCTGATGATCTGTAACAAAACATTTCCTGTGCAGGTTCCTTGGAAATCTGGAGCAGCCTGCCGCGTTTTTGGCGTGCGATGACGTGTAAAGTTTCTCGTTTTCAGGTGCAGCGGAGAATATGGATAACTGGATTGTGAGTAAAAGGCAATCCGTGTGCATGCACTTGACATGTCTTGAAAGAACAAAACCTGATGCTTGTATTTTCTGTACTTTGAGAAAATAAATTAGGCACTTGTGAGTCATGATGCCGACATGTCAACCGACGATGATGAATATCTAAGATTTTTTTTAAATAAAAAGAGTGATTGAGGTCAGCTCACGTGACCACATGGTTTGTAGGTTTGTAAGTTTGGTTCAGTGCTGGTAGCAGAGACTCAGAGTGTGTTTTGTGTGGCAGCAAACACATTGATGTGTGAGTGTACCATGCACTCTGCACATGGTGAACTGGTCCAGTTCTCTTGATCGCGTGCTAGACAAATACTAGGCATGTGTTGTTGAAAGTAGGTGTGTCGGTAAGATGCATTGGTGTAGAAATCCGACTAGATTGCTTAAAGGGGAAGTTAAGGCTAAAATCAAAATTTCACCAGTTATAGTCTTCCGGGTGCTGAGTCGAATGGTCTTGGTCCGCGGAAGCTGAGACGTTCCCTTCCTACTTTAATCTTAATCGAACTCGCGCACTTCCACCGAAACTGGGTGACTGCGCCCTACTAGATGGGGATTTGTATGCAAAATGTCACTAAAAGCGCAATTTCGTTCTTATAAAAGCACGGATGACCGCGATTGGCCCATATGTTGTAGTCTTTTGGACGCTGAGTCGACTGGTTTTGGTCCGAAAAGGCTGCGATGCAGCGTTCAGCCCTTATTCCCAATCGAACATGCTTGAACAAGCGGTCACTGACGTGCTCCTGCGTACACCAGTCACCTGGTCACCGTGCCTGCAGGGTACAACTTACAGCCTGTTTTGACCTTTTTTAGGTGCAGTCCTGTCACTCGAGTTGAACCTTGGTGTGAAAGTTTAAGTTGTTGCCTGCTGGCGCTATGACGAGGTGACTTGGGCACGCAGGGGCACGTGACCGCTTGTTCAACCATGTTCGATTGGGAATAAAGGAAGAACGCTGCATCGCAGCTTTCTCGGACCAAAACCAGTCAACTCAGCGTCCAAAAGACTACAACATATGGGCCAATCGCGGTCGTCCGTGCTTTATAAGAACGAAATGGCGCTTTTAGTGACATTTTGCATACAAATCCCCATCTAGTAGGGCGCAGTCACCCAGTTTCGGTGGAAGTGCGCGAGTTCGATTGGGATTAAAGTAGGAAGGGAGCGTCTCAGCTTCCTCGGACCACGACCATTCGACTCAGCATCCCGAAGACTACAACTGGTGAAATTTTGATTTTAGCCTTAACTTCCCCTTAAAAAACATAAAACATCCGTTGTATGCCTGGTGCGTGTATGTGTTCCTGGGCATGTACCAAACTCCAATACATACTCTGGATGTACTTTCTGTAAGTTTCTGACGAGCATGGCATCACAGTACATGATGTACAATTCTACGAAGAATCCCCCCCCCCCCCCCCCCCCAGGCCCCACACTCACACACAGATAACCGTTTTTTTTAGGGAAAGTCATGTTGATACAGTTAACTTTTGCCGAGTAACGACTCGATCATGCTTGGGGAAAGTGTAGTTATTTGCAAGTTGTCGTTCTCCATGAGGCTGCAAGTATGCATGTATGTGGTCAGCTAGTAGGTCTGAAGATAGTGTCGTTATTCGTGAGTTGTTCTCATACCCAAGGTCGTTATTCACGAGGTTGACTGTACTGTACTGTACAGTAGAAAGTACAGCACAGCATAGTACAGTGCTGTACTGTGCTGTGCTGTGCTGTGAGTGTCATTGAACTGATGCGTTCTGCTGTACGTATATTGTCACTTTGTATCATCGTTTGCTAAATGGAATTGTTAGAGTCCACCAACTACTAGTAAACCAGATTTGGAACAGTCAGACATGCACAATTTAGCACCAGACTGACGAGGAGTACTGAGACATTCCATGGCATGAACGGTACGCTTGAGCACTGCTCAATACCTACCGCTATCCGACGACCTTCCAACTTGGATGGTTCATGTATACTTGTGATAGTTCCAAAGAGGGGAAGGTAAGCGCCATCAGTACTCCTTGGTACTAGATTGTGCATGTCTGACTCACGGTTCAAAATCTGGTTTAGTTGGTGGACCGTCTAACCGACTCTAACGCATTTCTCGTGCCCCAATTTTTCCACGTTATCAATTTTATATGGTACAGTATAATCATCTATCATTGTGAAATGTGTCTGAGACAGAATTCTGAGTCCTTGCACGTGTCCAATGAGCGCTAACAAAGGTGTGTGGTGTGAGAGAGAGAGAGAGAGAGACCAGTTCTGCTCCAGCGAGTGAATAGTTCAATACGGTATACCCGAAGCCTCTTGCCTTTCAATCTTGCAGCCAGTACAGAGAAGGCATGGGTCTGACCCGATGAAAGTTCTTGTGTAAAATTTCAGAGTGTTGATACGGCGTCACCAGACCGGGCTGGGTGATACGCCGCTGTTCATGCAGTTCAGTCATCATGGCAGACACTGCTAGTTACATCTGCTTATCAACTCCTGCTCGTCGCAGTCCCATTCGTCGCGCAGCTGCTGCACGCTGCGAGACTGCTCCCAGCCGTACGCCTGCACGGTGATATTTGTCTGGCACTGTATATCATCCATCTGACCATCCTGCATGCCACTATCCACATCACCCATGAGTGCATGCTTGGGCAGTGTTGTTGCTACTATTTTAGAGCAGACATAGCCAGAGCACGCCAGTCCATCCTTTAGGACCGGTAGCATAGGATTGGTGCTGTTGAAGTTCACTACCCATACTGTCTGTGGCAGGTCATCATTGCCCGGTGAGAGCGATACAACTGTCGAGTTAGCGTAAATACCATGCTGTCCACACTTTCCCAACACAGTCGTGTTCTTCACCCTGGACATACACTTTTGTGGATAATACATTAGCTCCATACAAACGTTGAAGCTCTTCATGTGGCACATCGACTGCTCGCCAAGGTCCACAGTTTGTCCGCTGCTGTCCGTGCAGTTGCTCTCCGCGTAGACCGAGAAACCCATTGGATACGGATGCGGCTGTGCCCTGCTCAGCAGTGGCCCAAGGGCAACAACAGCCAGGACCAGAAACGGAAGACAAATAGTCAATGTCGTTCTGCCACCCTCCATCCTAACAGTCGTGTTTTGTGAGACGCAAAGCCGAAGGGATTATGGCAAATCGTTCCGAAAATTATCCTCTCCAGTCGCAGGACGCGCTCAAACAGTTCTGCTAACGTTATCAGTGCCGGTAGGAAGGTGGGCCTGTACGTCACCACCTAGCTACGTAGATCTACTAAAATCCTGCTTGCAAACCGCTGAGCTATCGATCACAACAATCGACGAGAATCTCACAATCGGGACCCGGATCCGTTGACGTTGTAGACCTACCCATCTTCGATTGGCGTGTTTACATGGCTGACAGTAACTCACTGCATGCAGACTGCCACCTCTTTGTCAGCATGGTCATTGACTGGCAAGTTAGTGACAGGCAGATCACACCACTAGGCACTACCAAACCTTCGACATCTGCTTTACGATCACCATGATCACGTGCAAACGATAATGCAAGGACCCCGTAGATCTACGCGCAGCCTACCGTCCTTGCACGATATGGTCCATTATGGATAGCATTTTACCGTTCACCATGGTTCGATCGTCGGCTCGGCCTGTAGTTTTGTGTGCTTTCAAGACATGGTTGGCATTTTTGGTTTCTGACACAACGATCGACTTGTGATATCACCCAAGTTGGAATATTACCGGCTTCATTCTCCCACTAAACAGAGCTTTCTATCGTCGAAACGATACCAAACCAACGGTATTTGGGTGTATTTTGGGTGCTAGGTACGAGTACCGTTGGATTTAGGGTGGAAGGTAACCATGGCAACAGTTCCAGTGAATCAGTTATTTACTACACAACACCTCCGTGTAGATGATCCATGCTGTGCTTCACTGACGCTGCCTTCAAAATAGTCAGTGGTATGATCCATAGCCTACAAGGCTACGTGTAAGCCGCCTGGGAACTTGCATTCAGTTCATACAGGTATGATTTCACGGTAGTGAGCGAGGTAAACGTCGTCTGGTCATAGGCGGGAACCATTGCAGCCTGTGTGGTTCTGCTGCTCTTGTTTCGAAATTATGGTTTTAAAATGTAACACACTACATTGACAGAGTGATGGTCACGACAAAATAACACTCCTTGGAGAAAGAACCTTGAAAGTAAAATGAGTCCACGGGGCTAGAGCAATGGAGGTTGTGGATGAAACAAAATAGATGCCTGTAGATTCTGTAACTAACAAGACATCACCAGCCTTAGAGCCTCTCTGGAGTTTAAGGCAGAAGGACTGTGTCCAACGCAATTTGTGTATGTAGCACTCTTACGCATCTATCACATAACCACACAGTGCAGCCATGTTGGATACAACACCTGCATCTATGGGTAACATGATGTCGGCCATGTTTGTTCCACTGTCTACACGAATTTAGTCACATGACAAAAATGTGAAGCAACCATGCACTATATTGACAAGACCTGAATGGTGGAACACAGTGTGTCTCTGGGCCGACTTCACTCTTGCAGTTCAATACTCAATCCAGTAGGGCCTGCTGAAATCGTGGCCAGTCCGAATGGCGTTCGCAGGTTGGTCAGAGTACCAGTGAATCCCCTTGCCTTTGATTTGCCCGCGAGTGCTGCGTTCAGCACATCTTGCCGTTTCCCGCCGGGCCACAGCATGGGAGGATGGTAGCCAAAGAAGCCACGCAGGACTGCATCAAAGAAGCTTCCACCCTCTATTCCAAGATAGCGTGTCACCCCTTGTGTCGGCTTATACGATGGCAGGTCATTCTGCGGTGCATATGGAGGAGTGGTCTGTTGAGGAGCGTAAGTAGCTTGCCCAAACGGCCCTTCATGAGTATTGCTGACAAACGATGCCATGATCTGCGCAGCCGAGGAGCAATTATAGTTCTCCAAATAGCAGAGTGCTTCCAGGGCAAACGCTGGCCAGCTCGGGTAGGAGCCGGTTGTTCCGTGATCCGGCCGACCTGCATCACATGTCTTATAGCCAGGCCACTCATCAGCATCAGTAGCAGCAGCAGCAGCCCTGTTGCCTGTATCCCAACTGCTGCTGCTCAGCGGCCACGTTCGAGAGCAATTTGTTTTGGGGCTGGTGGCACGCGCCCAGCAGCAAGTGACTGTCTCGT